AGTTTGAACTCGATCAATCCAGGCATGTCTCAGATACGGATCCAGAACTGAATTTTTTAAAACAAAATGGCCGCCAGTCGGCCATTTCATACCTGATCCACAAAAAAAAAGACGTGCATCAAGGTCCTATTATGTTTAATGTATGTACCAAATTTGAACAAAATCCGTCCATGCATAACTGAGATCCAGGTCCGGAATGGTGAAAATGTGTGATTTTGATGCATTTTCGGCCTTAAAATGGCCACTATTCGGCTATCCTTAATCGGATCATGAAAAAAATGCATGTGCATATGTCCCATATAATGTGTGATGTATGAGTGAAGTTTGAACTTAATCGGTCCACGCATGTTCGAGATACAGGTGATCACAGACGCACGGACGCACACAGGGCAAACCATAAGTCCCCGTTTTCGGACTACGTCCGAACGGGGACTAATTAAGCTTTAAAGGAGTGTCAGGCTTGTAAGTCTGTAGTTATTACTTTGTTACTTCTTATTCTACTTCCACAGTTAATTTTCAAACGATATCTTCTTGAGCGACTGTATCATTCGACCTGAAAATTTAGGTAACTTACATTCCACTGGTTTCACTCTACAAAGTGACTCAAACAGATTTTGTGGTTCTGCCATCATCTTGAATTATGTAAAACCTGGAAGTGCTCAATTGCACCACTTTCTTGTGGCCTAGGAGTCAAATTTGTGTGTGCAACAACTATGAAGTATGTGTAGTACTAGTAATATTGAAAAAATAGGCACAATTTTAATTATCGTAAGCATCTACTAATGAAATGATATTTGTTGGTTTAAGGTAGAGATGCAGATTCGTGGGCACTTGGGAGTGAATTTTTTTTTTTTTTGCTTTTTATTATTCAAAATGTCTTGGCTATAGACTGTTGAAATTTTGTAGAATTGTGAATAGTGGAACATATTTAAAAAAACGATTTTAAAATATAGATAACAGGTGCAAAATTATCTCTTTTGAATGCTTAGGAAGATTTAGCAAGGCTGTACATAAATAATAAAAAAAAACATGGTGAAAAAAAGAAATGACGGGATCTCCATATTATGCGCTGTATTTAACTTTTTACAAAACGATAATACATTTAAATTTGGAACTGCTACAGCCATTTTAATTATGAGCATTAACAAACTTCTTACTGAGTGTATTGTTATGCAAATTAGCAATTATCTCAGCTTTTTTTTAGTGCACATTCCAGAACTTTAAAAAAAAATAGCTCCTAGACGCTTTGACCTTTTGTTTTGAAATTTTCACAAATGATTAACCCATAAACCAATTTTGACAGGAAACAGAAGCATGGTTTAGAAGCTAATTTTTTTTAAATCACTTTTGCCCAAAAAAATAAACTACTGACAAAACTTTTAAATTCATAGAATAAGCTTTCCGAAAATATATAGTTTGTGGACAAGGGAGGTCATCTTGGTTTCCTAATTAACTAATTAAAATACCTGTCAGGTAAACTGCATCTCTACCTTAATTGATGAGACATTTGGTATACAGAGCAGTCTCTTCAAATTGACTATTTCATTAATCTGGTGGTTCAGTGGCCATCTTGGATTTTGTAATTAACAGAAATCGACCACTTACTTATTGAAATTTGGCATGTGTCATCTAATTTAATAGCACAGTCCACTTTGAGGAAATCATGTTCCTTATGGTCTTATGGTTTGGCTGCCATTGTCGTTTTTGGGGGGAGGGAGGAAGCGAGCTAAATTAAGAGTTTCAGAGCTGGCTCTGGATTATTTTTGATACTTACATCAAGGGCAATATGTATTTTAACTGTGCCTACAAGAATTCAATTTAGATAAGTAATTATGCACATATTATCAACAACACTTATGATGTTTTGTTCCAATTAGCTCAGCGGTCCGCCGGTTGTCCATGGACAACTTCTTCTCCAAAACCGCAGGTCCTTTTGTTCTAATTTTTGGTATGAAGATTCCTTAGAAAATTTGGTTGAAAATGTTAACTTGATTAAGAGAAGTGGATTCATCAACAAATCTGGAAATTGGGTCGAAAAAAGCTGAAAAATTTCTCAAATTTAAAATGTCAGTCTGATTGACTTGCTATTCAGCATGTTGGCACCTTGGCACGTCCTCTGTGTGGTCTATTGATGTGGTAGCATTATCTTCAAAATTGTTTTTAAATAAATTTGTTCATTATTATTTTTTTTAGCTAAAAGTGTTATTTTTTGATTTCTTCTCCAAAACAGTCAGTCAAATTGCTTTCATATTTAGTATGTAGGGATCTTGGGTAACCCTTTCTCAAGATTGTTCATTTCATAATGATATCTTCAATTTTGTGCAATTTATGAATTTCTTTCTGCTTATTTTATTTATATTTTTGACTCTCCATAGGTAATACATGGGACTTACAGAATGCATAGGCCTAAGTGTAAGCAGTGAAGGTACTCTGTGGAGTAGAGATTGGGATTTATTCATAGATCAGTCTATAATTCTGCAAATTGGGTCAAAAAGAGCTAAATATTTTTGTTAATTTTTCAAAAACCATTAGTCTGATTGACTTCATATTTAGCATATAAGTACGTAGGCCGATCCTCTGTGTAGCCTGTTGATGTGCTAACCTTTTTTTTTCAATTTTTCTATTTTTAATCCTTTTTTTTTTCAATTATTTTTGTCCAAATCATAATTTTTGAGAATTTTTTCTCCGAACGTCACACAGTGGAGTTATTTTTAATTTTGTATTTTTAGTGATTTTTTTAGATGCTATTTTGTTGAATTTTTTTCAAACGACAAGATTGTTAGTTTTTATTTCAGGTGTGAAGGCTATTTATTGGTTGAAGATGGTAATTTGTTTAAGGTATACATGTAGATTGACTAATAAATTTGCAAATTGGGTCAGAAATGCCAAAACATCTAAATTTTTCTTTTCAACAATTATAATTACAAACAATCTCTGGGATTTGCAGTGCCCTCTCATGAAGCTGCTTCTTTTTTTTTTTAAAACTGTACAATTTCTCTATTTGATTTTCAACAGATAGCACTTGGCAATGTATCGTGGCAAGGAGTAGACAATTCATACATTTATATGCCCATTTTCTTAATTGTTGACAGATTTTTCCAAAACCTAATCAGAACTTGCACATATCACATAGTATTCAATGTTCAGACAGACAGACAGCACCACAACATAAGCACTCATTGACTGACAAATGAAGTTAAAAAATGACCAAAAATGCACCTGGGTTTGGTCAGTTAGAGTTCAGTTATAATTGATTTGTTCATATTTCCTAAAGTTGTTTGTTGTTTGCGTGTTAACACAGGTGTGCATGCTCCAGTGTTAACACAGGTGTGCATGCTCCAGTGTTAACACAGGTGTGCATGCTCCAGTGTTAACACAGGTGTGCATGTTTCAGTGTTAACACAGGTAAGCATGTTTCAGTGTTAACACAGGTATGCATGCTCCAGTGTTAACACAGGTGTGCATATTTCAGTGTTAACACAGGTAAGCATGTTTCAGTGTTAACACAGGTGTGCATATTTCAGTGTTAACACAGGTGTACATGTTTCACTGCCAACGCAGTTGTGTATGTTTTAGTGTTAACACAGGTATGCATGTTTCAGTGTTAACACAAGCGTGCATGTTTCAGTTTCAACACAGGTGTGCATATTTCAGTGTTAACACAGGTGTGCATGCTCCAGTGTTAACACAGGTGTGCATGCTCCAGTGTTAACACAGGTAAGCATGTTTCAGTGTTAATACAGGTGTGAATGTTTCAGTGTTAACACAGGTGTGCATGTTTCAGTGTTGACACAGGTGTGCATGTTTCAGTGTTGACACAGTGTGCATGTTTCAGTGTTGACACAGTGTGCATGTTCCAGTGTTAACACAGGTGTGCATATGTCAGTCTCAACACAGGTGTGCATGTTCTGGTGTTAACACAGGAGTACATTTT